ATATTTTGTTTTCGAGTACTGCTATTCGAGTACGAGTCTTTTGATGTCGAGTACAATTTCGACAAGTACTTTGCTGCTCGAGTACTATAGTACCATCATTTAGAGTACGAGTACTTTGACATTCAAGTACGATTACAAGTATGAGTACTCTAAAAATGGTACTTGAGTAGTACTCGAGTAGTACTCGAGTTCGAGTAACAAGTACGAGTACTTCAACACTGGTAAGTTCAATAAATGAAGAGCTTGCTTCCAAAATCAATAAGCGCCACTTTCTTACCTTCTAGAATCCTTCCCTCTGCCCAAAGTTTAGTTTCGACGGCCGTTAAATACGTAACCCTCCTGCTGTCTGAACAGTCACAGACAGTCAAACAAATCAATCCTCTTCCCCTGCCATGCCTTTTACACAGGCTAGTCACCAACAGTCAGATCATAAATCAAGCAAGCACTGCAACTAGTCAAATTGAGTCAACAGACAAAAACAGACAAGTGATTGGCACAGCTGGCATATTAATCACTCGCAGTCAAAGCATAGCTTTATCAAGCTACATAAACAGTCACAACCAGTGAATCCTGTGTTATGTAGGCTGGGAACGCTTAACTGTGGAAAACAGACACTTGATTGATTTTGACTGAAAGGACAACTTTGCACAGAATGTATGTTTGCATAAGCAAAATCTGTAGTTCAGAAACAGTTGTTATACTGTGTATGTTCTATAAGTTTTGGAGTTGGTCTGGAGCTGGGTTGAGTTCAACCTGGGGCAATATCAATCACAGGGTTGACGCAGGGTTGAACATTTTCAGAAGTGAAATGCTGCATATTTTTGACCGTCCGTCAACCCTGTGTCAACCAAACCCCGAGATTTGTGTTAAAAGGCCTTTGTGGTGTTTAAATTGCTACTAGAGGTTTAAAAAAGGTATCATTTAAAAATATGTTGTCTTTTCCACTCATAGGACATTGTATGCTGCAAACATCTGTTCACTAAGTCTGCTGTGCGGCGGATCATAACGTTCCTCTTGGGCCCACACACTGCACAGAACGAGGAGGTATGTAAGGCAGTGAAAAACAGTGCATTAAATGAAATTGGGTGACAGTCACCCAATGAAATGCTGGTTCTTCATGCACTCACTTCGAGGACATATAGATCTAGTTATGATGTCAAAAGTTGATCATGGTTCAAATATAGTCTCACAAAATGAACACCTAATTGAGCCATAATTCTCAGGACTTTTAACCTGTGTCTAATACAGGATGAGTAAAAAAAAATGCGAAACCTGAATGTCGGGACCATTGTTTTAGTGAAGTTCTGCATGTAGCATTTTAAAAATCTAGGACATAAAAGTCCAATTCATAAGCTTTCTTTTAGTACAAGAATCATTCAAATCCCTCATGTAATTTTCAAGGAATTTTAAACACAACCACCATTTTAAAATTCTGTCCACGGATTACAAAAAGGTAAGTGTTCTTTCAACAAAACGAAAACAAATCACATAGGGATGTGTGTGAATTGTTTCATTTTGCTGAAAGAACGCACACCTTTTTTTTGTGATCCGTGGACAGGACTTTAAAACTGTGGTTGTGTTTGAAATTCCGTAACTTAAAAAGTACATGAGTGATTATTATAAGATGGAATTTTGCGTCGGGGTGATATAAATCAAATTAGGTTTTGCCCTTCACCGACGTTTTTTAACACTGTATACTCAGTGTGTTACCTCCTGAGTGAAAGTTGGAAAAAATCACTCGGGTGGGACTCGAACCCACGACCTCCTGCTTTCTAGTGCAGATGTCTTACCACTCGACCACCGAGCTAACGGGATCGGTTGGCCGGTTCGAATCTGATGTACATAGCAGCGGGTACCGCATAAACTATTATAAGATGGAATTTTGCGTCGGGGTGATATAAATCAAATTAGGTTTTGCCCTTCACCGACGTTTTTTAACACTGTATACTCAGTGCGTTACCTCCCGAGTGAAAGTTGGAAAAAATCACCCGAATGTATTGTATCTATGAATACTTAACCCTAACCCCCTAGGACCTGTCGGTTAGGAATCATACTCAATCCTCCAAAATCGTCTGTTATTTCGTGAATTTGTTCAGTAGAGGGGTACCATTGACTCAATCCTTCAAAATCCTCCAACAATCACTGTTAATGGGTTGAGGCAGTGCCGATGACATTCAGAAGCAGTGAGGATGATATCGAGCATAATGCAGGGCTCAACATAGGCGTAGCCAAGGGGGGGCCAAGGGGGGCCATGGCCCCCCCTGCTGTAATAAAAAATAACATTTTACCAAAAGCCGACGTTAATTATGAGTACAAAATACGAGTATGTGTATTTGATTGTCCGAAAATCATGTAATGCCTTTTTCTCTAAAAAAAAAAAGAAGAAAAGTCTTATAAACTTTTGCTCAAATAATTCAGGGGAAAGGGGCCAGAAATGGCCTCAGATTGCACCACAGAGCATGTAGGATCAAAAATTTCCAGGGGCCCTTAAGCGGGGCCCTGGACCCCATGCCGTATTAAACACGTTCTTGACCAAGTTGAATACAATTTATGAAAAATTCTTAATACTGTATACGATGTAAACTCAGGCAAAACAATGGAATACCAAAAACATATAAGGTCGAATAAGAAGAAAAATATGTTTCTCGTCCGGGTTTTCGAAAAAAAGGAGGAAAAGGGGCTTTTTATTTTTTATTTTTTATTTTTTTCAAGATGGCCGCCATTTTAAAATTTCCTGTAACAGTTGGTGTTTCCAAAGTTCAAAGACACTTTTAAAAAGAAAGACAAGTCGGACAAGAGAACTGAACAGATTTATAGTGTCATTCAGAGTTGTATTGGTATTGGTATTTATTTTCCGATGAGTAGGTGGACTAGTGTTTGGTGTTTGTTTACTGAATTTTTTCAAAAGTAAAAAATAATAAAATAATCCAGGCGGCCACCAAAAAGGAAGCGGGTGGGGACGAGAAACATGGTTTGTTTTTTTTACTTTGCCGAAGGCAAAAGAAAATGTATTTTCCCAATTAACAAAGTCCACTAGACATTTCCAAAGCAGGCAACAAGATGTTCGCTGGTGATCTGGGGGGTGTGGGGCGTGGGGCACCTTTTTTTCCCTTCAAAAAAAAAAAGCAAGATGTAGAGAGGGAGAGAGACCCAAACAGAGAAGAAAGGGAAGGTAGAGACACAATTAATACGGCAGTTCATGTCAAACCGTAGCCTGCTAGGATTAGTTGCACACAAGACGACATTATTATAGGGGGTCTGTCATACTTTTAGCTTTAAGAAAATAAAAAAAAACGACGGGATCAAGAACTGCAACAAGACATCGCGTGGCGACGAAACCTATGCTAGTATATTGTACATTACACAGGAAAATGCACCCATACCTCTCTATAGCATGCAGGATGCACGGCGGACAAGCCTTTGGAATGGGTGTCAATCGGGGGGGGGGGGGGGGGGGGGGGACATGTCCTTGAACATTGCACATGTCTTAAAGTCATGGACGTCAATCCTGGGAAGGGGACAGGGGGACATGTCCCCCCCCCCTCCCCCCACTTTTTGAAGGGTGGGGGACACAATATCAAATGTCCCCCCCCCCAGATTTTTGAACTTGTGTCTCATTTACAAGGCCCTATTATTATATGCAGTGTATCTTTTGCTAAGAAAATAATGGTTAAAGTGGTCAGAAAATGCATAAGATGGCACCACAGAGCATTTAGAATCCAAATTTTTGCGGGGCCCTTAATAAGCGAGCCCCGAACCCCACACCTTTAGCTGAGAATAGCTTATTCAATGACTTCAACCTCGAAAATGGTGTTTAAATTATTATCTTTTGCAAAGAAAATATTGGTTAAAGTAGGCAGAAATTGCCTCAGATCGCACCACAGAGCATCTAGAATCTTTTTTTTTTTCGGGGCCCTTCAGCGGGCCCCAAACCCAACGCCTTTAGCTGAGAATATAATAGGCCTAGCTTATTCAATGACTTCAACCTCGAAAATAATGTTTAAATAATATTATTATCTTTCGCTAAGAAAATACTGGTTAAAGTAAATTGGCGCAGATCGCAGCACAGAGCATCTACAGAATCAAACTTTTTGGGGGGATGCGACCCAAAGCCTAGCTCAGAATAGCTGATTCAATGACTCCAACATCGAAAACGATGTTTAAATTATTTTCTTTTGCTAAGAAAATATTGGTTAAAGTGGTCAGAAATGGCTTCAGATCACACCACAGAGCATCTAGAATCCAATTTCGTGCTCGCATTAGTTCTGATCCAGGTATGTCCCCCCACTTTTGAGAAGTGATTCACGCCCCTGCTAAAAGTTGGGGTATCGTATCGTTTGTCCCACCCACTTTTTTCATCCCCGAATACATCTTGTAGAGTACAGTTTGATTTTAGAGTTTTCAGGATAGCTGATTCAATGACTCCAAACTCGATGTTTAATTGATGATCTTTTATGATATAAATAGGTTAAAGTGGTTAGATATTGCCTGAGATCGCACCATGTAGAACATCTAGAATCTAAAATTTTCCGGGGCCCTTAAGCGGGCCCCTGACCCCACGCCACGCATTACTTTTCGTCACCCCCCTCTTTGGCCTTCAGCGTAGGCGACACAACTTGCCTTCACCACTTGCTGCTGGTTATATTTCACACACCCCCTATTTGGACAATCCTAGTTTCGCCCCTGGTTGGGGTTTGTACAGGCCGGTCGGACTTGGCCCCCCCCCCCTCCCCCTGCTCCAAATTCCTGGCTACGCCTGTGGGGCTCAATTATACATGACTGAACATAAACAATGCAGGGTACAGACTACGAACTCAGCACAATGCATCCTCCAAAATCAACTGCCACTTTTTGCCATTCGATCAGCCTAAATCTCCAAAATCCTCCTAAACTGCCATGAGGATTTTGGAGGATTGAGGATGGTTAGAGTTAAATTTCATTATTAGAATAGCAATGATTGAATTGGACTTATTGTGGATTACTGTTAATCCCCAGATCAAGGGGATTATCCACCGAGGCAGCGGACATTGATCATCCCCACCAGTAAGCCGCTAGCCATGCCCAGTGACATGCAGCAGATCCTCTTTGCCACGGAAGGCATCAAGTACATCCGGGAGGTGAGTTCATAGGTCGCCGTGGTGACCATTCATCTTACAAAAACCTTCCAAAAAATTTATCGAGAACCGTTGATATGGAATACCGAAGTGTGTCGTCATTTAGAACCAGAAAGTGTTGCACCAATGAATGGAGTATGCGCGCGTGTTGGTTCTCGGGCTGAATCACGCGCTAATGTCTTTCACACACATTTTATGTGAGCGAAGTATTCACTTTGGTACTCCAACATATTGGATGATTTTCTAAGTATGTCACATTATTGTTGACCACATTGTGGGGAAGATTTTTTTTGTTTGATGGGAAACTTACGACCAAGTCGTTGGTAAAAACCTGACTTTTCTGAAAAAAATCTTGTTTGCAATCAGTTGCACATACGTGAAGGGTGTAAGCCAGTTAGTCTGGTTCCCTGACCTGAAAATTCCCTGACGTCCGTAAATTGCTCTGTTTCGTCTGAAGTAGGGTCAGGGTACCAGGCTACAAGAGCAGCATTTTTTTCTTCTTGGTTTTTCCAGCATCTATGAACATTTTAACTTTCAATAGGTCAGTGTAACAATATTTGCTATGAAATACTAACCTCCAAATCTATCGATTTCTGAAAATTGCAGAAAAAGCAAATAGTTTATATAACATTAACTTCCTATTGTAAGGTAGGAATGCTCTGAGTTTGTTGTCATTTTAAAGCTCATGATGTACCGTTGGTGAATACCCGGAAACGGACCAACTGATTTAATGACCAAAACCTTCTTCAAAGGTACCTAATACCCTGTGAAATTATTCCACTTGAAATGGTATTGTTTGGAAGAAAACAATCATTGAATGTGGTTATGCCCCATCGGTGAAGCCGAAGGGGCATACTGTTTCCGCCTTGTCCATCCGTGTGCCAGCGTTAAGGGGAAGGTTTTTATTGTTAAGGAAATAAAAACCTAGTTATGGGGACTTTCTGCTGTCCCCATAGTGTCTTTGGCCCCCATAATACCATGGGACAACAATTGTGTAGTCCCACTGTTACGGAACAAGAACAAACGTGTGGGCGTACACTACATACATCCGAGGACTGACAGACAAAGGGAGGACAACAGATTCTTGTTGACTTCAATGTTTATCATTTATGTGCTTAGTCTTTGGGAGAGTGTTACATTACAGGGACAAAGGAAAACACGAAGTTTGTTATTGTTAGGGAAATTAGGACTGAGTTATGGGGACTTTCTGCTGTCCCCATAGCGTCTTTGGTCCCCCATAATATTGTGACGGCACGCCTGGGATCTCCCCCGGCCAAAGCGAAGTTGATAGGGACCAAGTCTGACACATATTGGAGTGTAGCTGATCTTTCCGAGCCCAAGTTTTCTCAAGACGAGAGACCACTCAGAGCGACCTCAAGGCTTAGGGAGCAGGTCTGTTTTGGAGGAAATTTACCGCCGATTATGATGATTGTGATTACTCTCTGTTAATTGCACAATAAACCTGCAAGAAATACACCTTGACAACAGGATTGTCGGCACAATAAGTATGACTATAATTTATTATATAATCAAGAAATATACAGTTATCATTGGGATCTAATTGGGCTGATCTATTACCAGGGTCACTAAATTATAGTTGGGAGACAAACCGGCCACTACTCATATTAGCAGCAACGCGCACGGCATCAACAATGTACAATAATGTAAACAATACACACCAATGTAAGTAATACACACCAATGTAAAACATGCGTGCCAATGTAAGTAATGTACAGCAATGTAAACAATGCATCTACGCCAATGTGGACTATGCGCGCCAATGTAAGTAATGTACAGCAATGTAAACAATACATCTACGCCGATGTAGACAATGCGCGCCAATGTAAGTAATGCACAGCAATGTAAGCAATGCATCTACGCCAATGTAGACAATGCGCGCCAATGTAAGTAATGTACAGCAATGTAAACAATGCATCTACGCCAATGTAGACAATGCGCGGCAATGTAAGTAATGTACAGCAATGTAAACAATTCATCTACGCCAATGTAGACAATGCGCACAAATGTAAGTAATGTACAGCAATGTAAACAATTCATCTACGCCAACCCTTACCAAACTTGACTGCAGTCATTTAGCATTCCTTTAGCATGCAATTAACATGCGAATGCTATGAGAACTGCCATTTGATAGCATTCACAAAAAGCCATGTCTGTACTTCCTAAAGCATTTTTCATAGCATTCCTTGAGGATAGCAATCAGATAGCAGTTTTATAGCATGTCAGAAGCCCGAATTATGTAAATGAGCTATAGCATTCGCATGCTATGGAGAATGCTATTTAGGCATGCAAACGTGAATGCTATAACAGCATTCACATGCTATGAGAATAGCATTCGCATGCTATGAGAATAGCATTCGCATGCTATGAGAATAGCATTCGCATGCTATGAGAATAGCATTCGCATGCTATGATGCATGCTATGTGAATGCTATCATGACTGCTATATCGTGACATGGACACGGGCATCCTACAACATACATTTTCAATGTCACAATTTATACCAAATATTACTTGTGTTATATCAGCTTTAATAATTTCATGTATTGAACCATATTTAACACAGCTAACACCATTTTGAAATTTAATAGACCTATGTATATAGACTGTGATCAAAATATATGAAATAAGAAAATTGTTCTTTAAGACTTTATCAGCCTCAGAATTGCTGTACAAACATGGGGATATTCTTTGTTTTTGTTTAACATTGTCATGCTTATAAAAGCAATGGCCAGAAATTTAATGCAACAATTCTCTGCTTATAATTTGAATTATCTTTGAAGCAACCAGTAGTCACTTTTGTGCCAGTTGGCATCACAATTAAAAACAGTTATCATCCGATATCCAGCTGATTCAAAAATTCAATCAATTGGATGAAGGAATGTTCAACATCACATACACCATGAACACTAACATACTCAAAGCCAGAATAAAATTGTCTTTATCTAGCCAAAAACTGAATACCCACCATGTAGGAATATAGACCCATTGGTAGTACAAACTGTAGACTTACCAAATACAAGTAGTTTGTGAGTGTGTTGCATACATGTTTATGGAGGCTCCATATTGCTTGGTTCAACTGTTGCTTTTAAGTTGTCAATTCCAAAGACTTTCAGCCAGTCATCCAGTGTATTTTGTCATGTACATGTACAACAATGTACAGGTTGAGTGCATGCATGTGAACATGAAATTATATCCACAAGCATTCATGCCATAAGGTAATGTCCATGCTTTCTACAATTTCTTGCAAAACTATGTGCAGCCTATACTGCACTCTGCACTGACAATATTCAACTGACTGCAGTTTTCAAATTTCCCACACTGACTGTTAATCTGTGGATGGAATGCACAAGGCCATCACTGATCATGTGACGTATAGTCCATGATATGATTGGCTTATATATTGGAATGCTGTTTGCAGGCTATGCTTAGCCACGGAATGCTATACTTTAAAATTATTTTACAATTGAGAGCTAAATTGGAATGCTGTACTCAATTTGCAGTCCTCCCTCTTTCACTTGCATGCTATGCAGAATGCTTTGAAGCTCGCATGCTATTTGGAATGCTATTTTCATTCTGCATGCTATTGAGAATGCTATACGGACTGCTAAAGTTAGCAGTCATCCAGTCATCATTTTCTGTGAATGCTATGTGGATGCTATAATAGCATGCACATGCTGTTTAAATGCTATTGAACTGCTATGCACATGCTATTATAGCAGTCTAGTTTGGTAAGGGAATGTAGACAATGCGCACAAATGTAAGTAATGTACAGCAATGTAAACAATACATCTACGCCAATGTAGACAATGCGCGCCAATGTAAGTAATGTACAGCAATGTAAACAATACATCTACGCCAATGTAGACAATGCGCGCCAATGTAAGTAATGTACAGCAATGTAAACAATGCATCTACGCCAATGTAGACAAGCGCGCCAATGTAAGTAATGTACAGCAATGTAAACAATGCATCTACGCCAATGTAGACAATGCGCGCCAATGTAAGTAATGTACAGCAATGTAAACAATACATCTACACCAATGTAGACAATGCGCGCCAATGTAAGTAATGTACAGCAATGTAAACAATGCATCTACGCCAATGTAGACAAGCGCGCCAATGTAAGTAATGTACAGCAATGTAAACAATGCATCTACGCCAATGTAGACAATGCGCGCCAATGTAAGTAATGTACAACAATGTAAACAATACATCTACGCCAAAATAAACAATACATGCCAATGTAAATAATACATGCCAATGTAAGTAAAGTATGTAAATGTAAACAATACATGCCAATGTAAGTAATACACGCCAATGTAAGTAATGTATGTAAATGTAAACAATACGCGCCAATGTAAGTAATGTACGTAAATGTAAACAATACACGCCAATGTAAGAATGTACACCACACCAGCATATAACCCATTCAGCCTTGTACCTGATTACGCTTTTCCCATGCAAGCGAGTGTCAGCATCGCACAGTACACTCACTTGTATGGCTGCGCGCATCAGCATTACACAGCGTAACTTAAGCAAAGTCATGGCCTGAACACAGCTTAATGAAGCTTAACGAGTTTAGACCCCATAAATCAAAGGCAAAGGTCATTATGGTTAAAACAATAGCAATAGTTTTCCCACCATAGCACAAACAAGACTTGTCATATCAACTTAAAACTTGGTATTTTATTTAAGCTGGCGATCTTCTCAGAAACCTGTCACTTTTTTGGACCCCTTAGGCCAAAGATTAGGATTGTTATGATTATTAAAGACAGGAATATTTTTTTCAACATACACATGTAACTCAGTCAAACTGTTGGGATAAATAAATGGAGAACCATCATTTATTCTGAGGCTACAAAATACCAAATTGAATGCTTGATCAAATACTCAAGACCAAGCTACTAAAACCAAAGGCTCCAATGCATACATGTGCTCATAATACAAAGCAGTATAAGATAAAAGGGGCATTTAATTTAAAA